GTTATTTTAATTTTACTTTAATTTATTTGATACATTTCATTTAGTAAGTATATTCTGTACCTTACTGATTTATTGTCCTTTTAAGGTTTATTCTGTATGTATAAATTAGCTATTTCTGTAAAGCGAGTGGGATGTTCTGTGTGGTATTTGAAAGTTTTGAGTCACATTTTAATTATGCAAACACGTGTATTTGGTCTACAAAGCATGAGTTTTTCCTTTCATTCCTGAAAGTGGTTTTAGATACAATGATAAAGATTTAAGTAGTACTTGGTTGCGTTTTTATGTTGGTTTGTCAGACAAATGGCTGTCAGTGTAGAAGACTGCTTGATGAAATAACTAAAAATCATTTATCTCTGTTGTGGCACTGCCAGCAGCAGCTTTAAATGAGATTAATTTTTAGTGGAGGGTAAACTTTTATGTGCTTTAAATTGAAGCACAATCTGTTTACTTTAATTTTTTTGTGTTACATATAATTAACAAACATATTTCTGTTTAAACAAGGTCTCTCTATTCTTACTTGATCTTTCAGTAAAATGTATTTGTCACATTACTATAGTGTAGTTTTTATGCAAAGCTATGAATTTATTTTCTTGATGAAGCTTGGTTTTGATAGAACTTTTTTATAAGACCCGGATATTAGATAATGCCGAAAGTTACTGTCAAAGTAGGGAAAAAGTTAGCACTAAATGTTTGTTTTCCAAATGTGATTGTAAGCAGGAGATAAACTTTTCCCGTAAGTGTTTATGGACAGCTCTGATTGGGTGACCCTGACCCTGTTGAAATCAGTGGGAGTTTTGCCATTAACTTCAGTGGAGCCAAGGTTTCACCCATTAATTTTAGTGGGAATTAGAATTGCATGTATATCTGTGGACAGAGATATTTACAAGGGGCCTGGGAACTGTGTTTAATGTTTAGGAATTAAGCAATAACTGTATTAAGGTTGGTCTTGTGTTTCTCTGTAGCTTGGTATCACAAGAGAAGGAAAAAGCCTATTTGCAGTATGTTGTATATAACCTCTAGCTCACAATCTGCAACCTTTGGAGGTATGTCGAGAGATGGTGTTGGGAAGGATTAGGCAAAACAGAACCTGGGACTTCAATTGTTGTCCTCTGAAGAAACTTGTGAAGGCTCAGTCTGTAAGGCTATCTGTTGCCTGAAAATCTGGAGCTACTTCTTGATTGTGAGGATTGACAAAGTAGTATTTTCAGATGCTTTAAACTTTTAAGGGAATGGAGGCATATTAATACAGTAACTAGGAGAGCATGGGCCTTTGCTTGTAGCTGCAGTCTTTTTCATGACTGCCTTTGGTAATGAGCCTTTGCTAGTTTGTGAGCAAGCTCTTGAGAAGAAATATCTCTGAGTAGTTGATTTGCAAAATAGATCAAGACATTTAAAAAATAGTTTGATCATGGACTGATTCTTTTAAAGAGGACAAAAATATTAAAATTGTTGGTAGTCCAGCTCTCCCCAAACCAAAAGATGCTGAAGTCGAAGTTAAAGAAACACTGTTTATATGAAACTCTCACTTCTCTCTGAAATTGTTTTAGCTATTATGTTACAATATCTAAGAATACTAAAAAAAGACTAGGAAAAAAACACTTTTTTTCAGTTTGCTGTGGTAATTTGACACCATTCTGTGTCAATAGAACAGAGAAATTTTTTAAATAGGAAAAATATAGCTGTAAAACCACGGAAGTTGGCTGGGATATTCAAGAGCAGATATAGAAACTATTTCGAGTTGTTTAACAATTATATTTTAGGTTGACAGTGACCCTTTTAACACTTGCAATCCTTATTTCTACTTTTAACCAAGTTTTGTGCAGAAAATTGATTGAATTTCTATGAATGTCTGTCTTTTAAAGGACCTGAAGAAGAGTTCAAAACCTTGCCTTTTTCACCAACAGAAGTTGGTTTGATAAAGGATATTACCTCATCCCCCTTGCCTATTCCAAAAGACAAATATTCTTTGTAAAGTGAGAAGCCTGCAATTGATGAAGGTCTTTTTGAAAGTACTTACATTTTTGCTGAAAACCATTTATATTATACATCTTGAAAACAAAACATCACTACCAGCAACAAAATCCTACAAGTGCTTCTCAGACTCATAATGACACTGTGTTCTATAATATGTGATACATTCATAGGCCCACTATCTGTTCTCATTGTACAGTTGGTTCTGTATTCATTTTTTAACTGTGTGTGAAGTGAATAGTATATTTCAATTTGTATGGTAGATGCAAATTTTGAGTCAGATTTTTAACTAAGGAACGGTATGCTTTTTTTTTCCTCCCGAACTGTAAGAAGTTGGTGTCAGAAAAACAGTGCTTCTGTTTTTATTCACACCTTTTCCTCTTCAGCTTTCAAAGCATATTTTGGTGTCTTGTAAAGCACTCTGTTTAGTTAGAACTTTATAAATAAAAATAATAGTTTTTTTATGTGCTTTCATGTTCAAATTTTGTTTGACTCATAGATTCCTCATAAGTTTTTGGTATGTGAAGTCTGTATATTACTGAGGTAGATAATTGCACCTATTCCTCTTCAATGCACATTTGACCCAACTTTCTATGACTTCACAATTCACTTATTTTACTGTTGTCAATATAGCGCTGTCCTTACACTTGGAAAGTTGGCTTGTATCTGATAGTTCTGCCTAAACTTAACAATTCTAGCTGTAGATAATATATTTATTTATATTCTATAGATGCTATATTCAGAATCTATTTCCCATTTTGCTTGGCACTAAATATGCATATATTAAGACATTTCCTGCCCCCAAGAGTTTACAGCAAATATGACTAAACACAACAAATAAATAGATTGATAAGATGAAGGTCAAAGGAACAGTGAAACAATTATGGCTAATATTAAAGGCTGTAGTTACATTACTGGATCTGTTGTGTAGTCTACCTCCATGGTATAGGTGGAGTTTAAGAATAGTTTTAGAAGAGGTTAATATATAGTAGCTTTTTGTTTTTCACAGAGACACATCCACCTTCTCCAATGCATAAGGGGCTATGTGGGGAAAAAATGTAAAGTACCTTAGGGTAAACTGAATTGTTGAGTGTCAAAGACTGGAATCTTTGGTAGAATGAGAATGAAAGCGGAAAATGAAGAACAAGAGCTAAGTTTTGGCTACGTTGAGTTTGATGACTGCATATCCACATAGTTATTTTAGTTTGTTCAGAAAGAGACAGTGTCAGAAAGGGGAAAGGTAAACCTGTGAGTTTAGTATAAAAATGATAGTTAAAGCCATGCTTTTGTATGAAGGAATCCAGAGAGAGGGTATAGGAGGAGATGAATAGAGTCCAGTAAAAAAATTGGTTCAACCTTGTTCTGATCCAATAAAGTACTCAAACATATGTTTAAGACCTTTGCTGTATTAGAGCCTGATGTTTTTTCCTGAAATGGGTAGGTGGAGATGCTGCTTGTGGGGAATAATTTTATTTTGGGATGAAAACCTGTTCAATGTGTGCCATTGGTTGTATGTATTGTGTTTAACCTTTATGTACACATGCCAAAAAGTGTTTTAATGGTAGCCTTTTTACAAATCAGAGAAAAATATTCCATTAATTTTAGTGGGAATGACATAAACGATGTCTAGAGAATACAGGCACATAGGTTGACTAATTATGTCTTTTTCTTTTACATAATATTCTACTGTTGCAGGGAATGGACTCTCTGTAATAGATTTCTTTCATCTTTAGATATTGTGATTAAGTCTGTATCTCTCTTTTTTGAAGGGAAAAAAAGGGCAATTTTCATGGAGCAAGTTTCACAGTACATTTAAATTTTACAACACACATTGTAATGACCCTAATATTGTATAAGTAAGTTTATAGACATGCCTTGTTAATTGGAGAAAGAAACAATTTCCAGTTCAATGTTTAACTTTTTAGAGCTGTATATGGAAAACTCCAAAAAACAAAGAATAATGTATAACTTTTTAGAATAAAGTTATGTAAAATCAACTTGAACATGTGAGCATACTGGAATTCCTACTTAAGAAGTTTTTATTCAATTTAAATTAATTCTGCTTCCATGTAGACATGCACATTCATTTTTTCATGTTCTGTTTCTCTAGTAAAAGAACACGAAACCAGAGGAGTACTATTCTTTCGGGACACATTTGAGAAAAGTGGACACAAACATGACAGTTGAATGCATAGAATCCTAGAACTGGAAGGGACCTCAAGAGGTCATCAAGTCCTGTCCCTTGCCTTCCTGGCAGGACCAAGCACTGTCTAGATCATCCCTGACAAGTGTCTGTCTAACCTGCTCTTAAATATCTCCAGTGATAGAGATTCCACAGTCTCCTTAGGCAATTTATTCCCGTGTTTAACCACCCTGACAGCTAGGAGTTTTTTTTACTGATGTCCAGCCTAAACCTCCCTTGCTGCAATTTAAGCCGATTGCTTTTTGGCCTATCGTCAGAGGCCTAGGAGAACAATTTTTCTCCCTCCTCCTTGTAACATTTAGATACTTGAAAACTGCTGTCATACCCCCTCTCAGTCTTCTCTTTTCTAAACTAAAGAAGCCCAATTCTTTTTCTTCCCTCATAGGTCATATTTTCTAGAACTTTAATCATTTTTGTTTTTCTTCTCTGGACCATCTCCTATTTCTCTACGTCTTTCTTGAAATGTGGTGCCTAGAACTAGTCACAGTACTCCAATTGAGGCCTAATCAGCTCAGAATTAATATATTGCAGTTGTGTTGTCTATCAAGATTTGTCATTTGTCATCTCTTGAATTTTGGGAGAAGTATCAGTTGAAGAAAAAATTAATCCAAGTGGATAGTATTCATTTCACAGTTTTCACTGTAAAAATTCAGTTTTATATTTTCTTTGAACGATGAGAAGAGTTAGAATAGCTGATTAATTTGAAGTTGCATATTTCAAAGTGCACCTGAATTTTATTGACATAGTATGATAATATTCTACCTTTGAATACTATTTACAATACTGCAATTATTTTACTAAAATATGTATAAAATGTCACTTACAGGTGCTGACCTTAAGGAAAGAGCCAAAATGCACTCCAGTGAAGTTAGTTCTTTTGTCTCAAAAGCAAGAGCAACTATTAATGAAATGGGTAAGTAAAATAAACTCACTAGTGAACAGTTTGCAGAGCTCGGCTTCTTTAATCTCTAAAGGTCAGATCAAAGAAGTGACATAAACATGTATGATTAATTCTTGCTATGCGATAGGATATCCAAACTACTTATGTCAATGAGATAATTATGAGTCACTGCTGGCACAGTGATATTTTAAAATGTGCACAATAGGTTTTGAGTTCTTATAGAATAAATTAAGGTACTGTTTCACAGATTGATTAACAATATAGCTAAGTGGTTTGGAATCAGGTTTACTTGGAGGAAGAATTGCAGTTCTGTGCCCCCTAAGTGGTATGGGGCTCAGTTGTATTGTCCTTTTCCTCTGTTGTGTATATACATTTATTACAGCATTTGATACATCTTATAAATGTTTTAAACGTGTGCTATTGATGGAAAATGTGGTTTTATGACATTACAAAATATTGTTTAATCTACTTTGTTATAGTAGTGTCTTCTGGCAATGATCGTTTTAGTTTTAATTTCCATTTTATGGTAAATGTTCCCTTTAGAGCTTAATTTGCTTTTGTGCATTTTGGAATATGAAATCTCCATCCAAGTGACATTTCTGTATATTTAAAAACAACAGTGATCATGATGCTATTTATGTATTTTTGTTCGTCTCTAAGGTGCTACAGAACCATTTTTTAAAAAATTTTTTTAGTTATAGACTAACACGGCTACCCTTCTATGATTTTTGTAGATTGTAATTTGATTGGTTTTGACAGGATAATGTATTTTTATTAAAAGGAAGATCAATCCAACATAGTATCTCTGAAGCAATCCTATTTGTAAATTTAAACTACAAAAAGTACTATTGTGTGTTAAAGAACCCAATCAGACACAAATATGACAGTCCCTGAAGACCCAAGCAACATTTTTTTTTAAAGGATTACTCTTTTAAAAACGTAATTTGTAATCCTCTAGGTTTTGCTGTATGGGATTTACCTTATTTTTAAAGAAAATGTTGGCGCATAAACATCTTAAATTATAGGACTGTGCGTCTTGTTTGTTTTAAATATTAAGGTGCTTGAGAAGGTAGATATTTAAGATGCTTGAGAACCGTTGAAGAAAATGGAGTGGTTTCCAATGTACATTAGTAAAAATTACAGCCGTATTTGAACCTTGAGAGTCCGTGTATGTCATGACAGAACCCAGTGTATAATCTGTCTGAAATCAATAGTCTCCATAAAGTGTAAATCAGACCAAAGTTTGATGTGTAAGATTTTTGTTTTGTCATGGGGAGCTAGAGAGAGATCTTCATGTCACATTTATAATTAATCCATTTTTAACACTTGAAAATTGCTCTGGAGGAGCCAATAATATTTTAAAGAATAATTTTATATTGTGGTTCCATGTTAATATTGGATCAACTTCATAATTTGGATTGGCATAATGCTGTGAATGAAAACAATAAGCCATATCTTGGAAATAACTATTTTAAAAAAAAGTCTTTGTAGGGGAGTTCTTGGTGATACTTCAGTCTGATTCCCTTTGCTTTTCCTTTAAAGTAGCCAAGATCTTGAGGCTGTTTTTATATATATTTAATAAAACAATCAGAAAGGAATAAACTATTAGTTCCTTGCAGTAAATATTTAATTAAGTGGTAGTGCTGGCATTCTGGTTGGCCTATAAAGCAATGGTAAAAAGTTGTTGAAAAGATTTTCTTTGACTCGTAGTTAATTTTTAGATAGAGGTAATAATTGTAAAGACTTTTCCCTGAATGAGAAGATGGGAATCTTTCTACCCTTAAAGTTAAAATAAAAATAAATATTCCTTGGAACTGGTAAAGTTTTTGGATTTTTACATTGGGATAAATGGGGGAGTGAGAGAAACCACTTTTATCTTTTTTTTTTGCCTAACATTTCAAGTGTGTTGGGAAAACTGGCGATTCTTTAATTTAATTAGATCTTGTGGGAATCTTTTTTTTTTGCCTAACGTTTCAAAAGTGTGTTGGGAAAACTGGTGATTCTTTAATTTAATTAGATCTTGTGGGAAGTTGTGTAAGTATTGAACATTCAAAAGTATAGATTCATTGTTATAAAATGGGCCTAGACTTAAATGTTACGTTGATACTGAATTTTAGAAGACCAGAAATACTACTCATAACAGAGACAATCTTTCATTCTTCTATTTACTTTCTGAAAAAAGGGGAGGCAATTGTGCCTTTACTTTTCATTCTTCTATTTACTTTCTGTATTTACTTTCTCAAAAAAGGGGAGGCAATTGTGCCTTTACCTTGAAAAAGGCACTTGGTATCTTAGCCATCTCATTCATTTTAAAATTATGTGAATCCTAATGTAGAAGGTTTTAGTAAGTTAATATGGTACTCTGACTAGAGCTGGAGAGACATTTTTGATCATTTGTTTTGGTAGAAAATGCAGATTTGTCAAAAATGAAACTATTTGTAACAGGGTTGGGTTTGATTGTTTGGATTTGAAAAAAATGTTGAGAAAGGTTTGAAATTGTCAACCTGTGTTTTGTAAATGGTTTTTTAAAATTACTTTTAATTGTGTAATGTAAGCTAATTAAACTGAAAAAAGGTGGAGATTGAAATAAAAATTTAAAACTTATCAAAATGATTTTTGATTGACTTTCCTTTTCCTCCTCCTCCAATCCAAAAAGAGAAAAAAAAATAGGGTTCACAAATATTTTTGAGATTTTAGCTGTTCATCCTGATTCAAGATGGGGTAAAAATTGTGAACTCTCAAAAATATCCCTGTGTTGAGAAACAATATATGTATTTTTACCTGAAAGATAATGGGAATAGGTTGTTCAGAGTTATACCAGGGGACCATCCACATGTGAAGCTATTTACTTACTTTTATATTCTTATATTTTGACCTTTTTTCTTGTGTAATATTTCAAGTAATATGTTAATTACATCTTTTTGGCATTATTGTTTTGTGTGTTCAATGCCGACAGTACATGCCATGACAGGATTAATATTACTCTTATTCTGAAACATTTCTGTAAAATAGTTTGCAATTTGTCTTCTCCATCATGAAGCTGATTAAGATTATTTAAAAAAAAAGTATACCTTAGAAATAGGAGATCAATGTGGTGTGAGGTGTATTATGCCTCTATGAATAGAAATGAGCATTAATCTTTTAACATGTCAGGTTTTCAGTTCTTCTTTTTTTCTTCTGAAGGAGTAGTCTAGCATTACAAAAACTAATTTTAGTTGAGCAAGTGGGACAGTGAATTTGCATTGGATTCCTGGCAATGAATCAGTACACTGAAAACAAGCAGATGAAGATGTTTTTTCTCTCCAGAAGCAAACATAATGTCAAGAGACACTTTGAGTGGCCGGGGGAGGGGGGGGGGAATTTTCCAACAATTATTTGTCATTTGTACAAATGCTGTAGCAACATATTTTTCAGTTTCTTGTTTTGTCCCTTTTCTGTGCAGATTTAACAATGGAAACCAGTTTCAAATATGCACTACTTTCTGCTCTTCATAACGTGTTCTATTTCTGAAAACAGGTTTATATTCAGATGTTTGACCTAGAAGGTACTTTTAAAGTGACTTGTGTCTAAGAAAAAGAACTGTGTGGCCAAAATAGATGAGAGACATATTGCTTATGATTTAATAACCATTAAAATCAGCCTTCTGGATTGGTATGCTTAGCTTTTTGTAGTTACTGACAATTTGATTATATTTTTGTTCATATGCCAGTTTTAGTGGTTTAAAGATGTAGTATCCTAAATTAGGAATGTAACGGAAAAGTAGGGTTTCAACAAAAATACTGGACACACTTGACATTACATCACAATCTACATTACATCTTATTTAGAAAATACTGGACATTTATATTTTCTCATTTATATTTTCTCAGTTTGTTTCCTGAAGAGAGAGCTCAAATATTGCACTGTCCAATTCAAAACGGGACATCTGGCAACCCTACAGAAAAGATTTTTCTAGAAATTGAAATCATATTGCACTTGTTTGCTACTGTATTTAGATATATTTTTTTATGATAGAATAATTAATGACTTCATGCTAAATTTGGGAGAAGTATTAAGCTTACAGTAACTATCATTTGGTATAAAAATAAACATTTGAAAAAAAAAACTGAAGAAATTGTACTGAGCTATTAGCTGTGGCTCTGAATGCTTGAAGTTGAGGGGGAAAATATCAAAGCATGCTGCTATTTTTAGCACTAGTTGTTTTTGCTAAAATTATACGAGAGTTGTGTGGGTTGTTTTTATAGAGCAGGAACATAAGACTACTTGTCCATTACTATATTCTACCTTGAGACTCTGCATTACTGACGCAAGGCTGCTTTTATCCTGAATGTTCTCGGGGGTGGGTGCACATGAGTAGATTTGCCTACATGCACACAGTTTCAAAAGGGTTTCTGGCTAAATTAAATCAAAGGCTTATTGGCACACAGCCATCTACTTTTTTGAGACTTTGGAAATAAATAACACCTTGTGCCAAATTGTCAGCTGATGTAAACTTAAATAGCTACAGTGAAGTCAATGGTGTTGTAGCTACATATGCCAGCTGTGGATCTGTCCCTTTTTATTTACATAGTATATTCATATTCTAGCTGTAACTCCTTGTTAGTTGGAACATGGTAGCCATTCTGTGCCAGCAAAAAATGTGTTTAGAAGGAGAATGAAAAAAATGTAATAATGAGAATTCATGTTTGGCAGTTTTATATGCAATTACTCCAGCTGGAGTTTGGCTACAGCTTTTATGTGTGTGCTAAAACCTCTGAAGATCTTGATATCTAACTCCAGCCCAAGAGTGGTAAGCCCTGATTTTATATTCTGTCTGAAAGCAGCACAATGCTTCCTAGCACCATATTGGATCATTGATTTTTTTTTTTCTTCAAGCCCTAGCTCATGACCATTTCACCTTGTGTGTGTGCTTGACAAATGTACTTGTGCTGGAAGTTTTGCCTGTAACAGTATTTGTAGGGAGGGGTTCTGGCAACGCACAGGCGTTGTGCACTCTCCACACCTTCAGTTTC